CTGCCAGCATTCAGAAACCCCAGGGCTGCAGGAGCAGATCCTTCCCCAGGGAGCCCCCACCTCCTTCCCCATCCTGCTGCCCGATTCCTTCCTTCATCTTTACGGGGGTCCTATGAATGGACCAGGTGCCCCCAGGGCTGGGGAACCCTGCCCACTGGCTCCTGGGTCCTGGGGTCCTATGAGGTGTGTGTCAAATGAATTATCAGTCCTTGGAAGGAAGAAGTGTCCAATCGCTCTTTACCATTGGTGAAGCTCTCTGATGTCTGGTGCCCAGATTTCCACCCCAAATCAGAATAAAATCAGAATGTCGTTTGACTTGGGGTCCAAAGTGGGGAGCTGCTGTCTTAGAAAAGCTGGTGGTAAATGCCCAGCAGGAGAGTTGGGTCTCTGAAAGCCTGTGGAGGGATTTTCCTGCTGATGTAATGGTCTCCACTCTCAAACACTGTGGTCTCAGGCCCTTTCTTTCTCCATCTCTTACTTTTAAAGAGAATTTCTAATTTCCGGGTGGATGTGAGATTCAGTCTCCCTGTGGCCTTGAGCACCAAGAAGATGCCAGATCTGGGACTGGTAGGACTCCCTGCAGGTCCCTGGAGAGGACCCCAGGCATGTGAGTCTTCAGGAGGTTAGATTAAAATATTTACTCTGTAAAATATGCAAACGATGGGACTTGAAAGCCAGTGCTGAATGGAAAGCTGGGGCCTGAGAGATTTCTGAGCAGAGGCCCCGGGGAGGGAGGGCAGCCTCTGCACCATGTGGGTCAGGCTGCTTCCTGCTTCTCATTGGCATGTTGTTGGCACCCACTGCAGCTCCCATATAGACACAAGGTTCTCTTTGTAGACACAAGGTTCTCCGTGCAGACACAAGGTTCTCCGTGTAGACGCAAGGTTGTCCGTGTAGAGGCAAGCTTCTCCATGTAGAGGCAAGGTTCTCTGTGTAGCCGCAGAGTTCTCCATGTAGACATAGGGTTCTCCGTGTAGATGCAGGCTTCTCTGTGTAGACGCAAGGTTCTCTGAGTAGAGGCAAAGTTCTCCTTGTAGACACAAGGTTTTCTATGTATACACAAGGTTCTCTGTGTAGATGCAAGGTTCTCTGTGTAGACACAGGGTTATCCGTGTAGACACAAGGTTCTCCGAGTAGCAGTAAGGTTCTCCTTGTAGACACAAGGTTCTCTGTGTAGACGCAAGGTTCTCTGTGTAGACACAAGGTTCTCTGTGTAGACGCAAGGTTCTCTGTGTAGGAGCAAGGTTCTCCATGTAGACACAAGGTTCTCCGTGTCCTGTGATTTGGTGAGCGAGCCTCCCCTGGGACTCTGGATGCTTGGCTGCTGCCTGTGTCAGGAGCAGGCCACCTGCTCTTCCTCTGCTCCCTATTCAGCCTCTGGATAACAGGGGTGAGTCCAGGCTGGGCCGCTCCCTGGGAGGCCCCTTCCTGGAGGATCTGCAGGCCGTGCACACTATCCTGGTCTCTGAATCACATCATCTACCACCAGACACTGAATGAGGAGATACTGAAAGTGTCCAGAACATGGCCTGGCACATGGTGGCGTTGCCAACCCCAGGAGCACTCAGTCACTTCATTAGTGAGGAAGGGACTGGGGTACCCTCGCCTCCCAGACGAAAACCCTAAAAGGATGACAAAATCCAGGATGTGGGCGAAAATGAAGGGCCATAAATTCATAACAGAGGAAAGAGGGCACAGAAAGCAAATATTAGAGAACATTCGTAATCTTTCCATGGTTACTCTAATGGTTTAAAGCAAGTACAGGTATTTATGCAGCTGGATGACAATAAAGGTCCAGCCACAGTCGTTTAAAATTTCATTGTTGAACTTGCCACAAAGTGGCCTGCAGCTTCTCACTGCAGAACCAGCAAGGCAGGGCCGTTCGCCCTCCGCCACCTCCTTCCCTGCACAGATGCAGATGCAGACTTGCAGAACCAGGAGTGCATAGGACACGCTGGTGGGGATGTGGGTTGTAGCGCCTGCAGCCCAGGGCTTGAGTCCTGGGAAACTTTCACAAACCTCCGCGTTCCAGAGGCTGCTTCTGTCATGGCTGTGATAATGCTGCTCTGTAAGAATTTAGACTAATAGCCGAATGTCCTGACCAACACACATCACGTGACCACAGGTTGATCTGCAATTCCTTTGGGTACCAGCCTGTCCTCTGCTCACAAGGATGTTGAGAACCGCATCCACCTCTGTTCCCTCTATGCCTCTGGGTCCCTCTGCAGGAAGGTGGTCAGAAACAAACCCTGTCCCGGGGCAGACGGAGCAGAGGTACAGAGGGCTCAGGGTTGTGAACACGGCAAAGGTGAGATACACCTGGGGTTGGCATGCGGGAACATGACAGCAGTAGAGTTCTTCAGATGGGAGCAGTGGGACAGCAGAGTGATAAAAGCATCCACGTCCAGATAAAGAATACGGACGCTACATTTTCTTTTTCTTACTGGAAATTCTCTAGGGCTGGAGGGAGGGTGGTGATGCCAGGGGAGGAGAGCTGACAGGCGATGTGGGTTAGGAGGGCTCAGGGGCTGCGGCGTGGAGGGGATGTGGACTGGACACAGCGCAGGGACTTGTCGGATCTGTGGGGTGCGGGAGAGGGGGGACAATGATGACTCAGTGCTTGAGCCTGGGGGCTGGGAGGACGCGGGACACTAACAGCCGTGGAGAAGCTGAAGGAGGAGCACGTCGGCAGCTGACACAGATTGTTCTGGAAATAAGACCCTGCGGTGTGCGGGGCAGATGTAGGGGACATCCACAGCCAACAGGGGAGGCTGGAGAAGCCCCAAGGAGAGTGGGGGCAGAGCAGGGAACCCAGGGGGGGACCCCATGCCTGCCTCTGTGCCCTCTAGATGCGGAGCCGAGGAGTGTGCTGTGTGCCGTCTGGCTGCATGAAGGGCAGCTCAGTGTGGCTCCAACCACTGGAGTTGATGCAGACCCTACAGGTCAGAGGGCACCGTCCCCAACAAGGCCGCCTCACCTCTGACACCAGCCGCTCTTCAAGGGTACCGAGCCAGCCCCACTTGTGACCGCCTCACTGCAGCCTTGAGGGTTTGCAGGACTCCATCCCCTTACAGAATTCACTAGAAGCTCACAGAACTCAGGGAAGCAATGGACCTACAGCCACAGTGTTATTGTAAAGGATGCAAGTTGGGAGGGCCAGACAAACAGAGGCGCTTAAGACTCACCCTCTCCCCTCAGAGGTCAGGCTGGCCCAGAGTTTCAACCCTCTAGACCACATGCTTTTTTTTTTTTTTATATCTTTTGAATCTATCTCCCTGGACTGTCTTCTTCCTCCAGAACGTTACAGATCAAGTCCGTCATCTGTGCTCATGACAATCCTGTAGCTACCTGAAGGCATTTTCCAGCTCCCTCTTGCCCCAGGGGTATTTTCAGATTAGGCAAGTCCAATATTCTCTCATGTTCCCAAAATACTATAATTTCCAAACCGTCCCTCAGCTAGCTGCATCTCTCTGGGTGTTTTCTCACCTGCAGCACGCTCATTCATCCACGTAGCCCCAAGCAGTACACAGCACTGCAAGCTCGCCCCCTCAGGCTCTGGCATGCCGTGGGGCCCTTGCTGGGCTTCCGCAGCATCTGCACATTATAAACATGGTCCTCAGTCCCTTAGCTATGGGGCTGCCTCCTGACAGGGCTGGTGCGTGCTGGGTCGCTTGTCCCATGACTGGAAGCTGGAAGGAACGGGAGCTTGAGGATACCTAAGGAGGGAGTGGAGGCTCGTTCAGGGAAAGAAAGACATAAAGGTGGTGTCAGTGGTCCAGAAGGGCAATTCAGCTCGTGGCAAACGTGTACTTCAAGTGTCGGATGTGGGAAACCCACTGTGGGCATTCGGCACACACCCTGGGAGCCTGCAGCAGAGCACTCAGACGGTATGAGCTCACAGTCCAGAAATCGTTCTGGAAACTGTGCGGGGGGCTATTTGCTGCACCATAGCTCACACTGTTCTTTTTGCTGTGAAAGAACTTGCTGTGGTGCATGGCTGAGCCCAGGATGGAGGAGAAAAGGGCTGGTGTGGCTGGAGCGGGAAGGGGGATGGGTGGAGGGGGGTCAGGATGCCCGGTGGCAGAACTGGTGGGACCCCGAGTTCTGAAGTCCGTTCCGGCGCCAGGCCTTTCATTTATTTATCTTCACTTCTACCTCGTGTGTTTCTGTAAAGATTTGACGTGCCCTCGTAAGAGAGTGCAGAATGCAACAGGCCAAATTCGAGCCACAGGAGGAGGAGAAGTGTAGGGGAGGCATGTGAGGTGGGGCAGGGATGCTGGGATGGCTTCCACGTACCTGCAACGGCCAATCAGAGCAGGAAACGTGATTGGTCTTATCGTTGACAATAAGACGAAATGCCTGAAGCCCTGGAGTTCTTCTCAATACAGCATGGCTGGAGTTTGTGGGCACTGAGAGCACGTGTGGGTGTCATGAGCGGCCTTCACGATGAAACCGTTTTAATTGGTAAGTTGATGGCAACTTCTCCGTATTGCCTGCTATCATTACACTAATGCAGAAGCCCCCAAAGCAAAACAAAACTCCTAAAACAAAACCAGACCCATGAAGTGCTTCAGTTTTCTGTCTACACCTGGCTTGTTCTAGAGGTGAATTTTTGAGTATTGCCCTGGTTTCCATCAAATAATCCCATTGGCGTTTGTTGTTTGGCCTTCCTGAGTCTGTTTCCGCACAGTACATTATGGATGATACATCACTTAAGCCACAGGGACTGGACGGTACAGTGTGGTGACATGTTAGCACAGTGCCTGTGACGTAGCGCAGGCGTGTTCAGTACATGCGGGTGATTTCCGGGAGCAGCGACTACAGAGGTCCCAGCACAGAGTGGCTGAACTGCTGGATGGGACCTTCCATTTGGGGGGGTGGAGGGATCGGGCCAGGCGGGCAGGTGACACTGGGCACAGTGCCCCGGGTGTCTGGGAGGGGGGCTGTCCCCGGACAGCAGGCAGAGGCTTGCAGGCTCACTTTCAACTTGTCTTTCATAGGAATCACGCTCTATAGCCACCCATTTGGAGGAGCCTTGCTGAACGAGGACAAGTTGTGAGTTAAAGGAACACTTGGTGGGGGGCCGAATGTGGATCAACATCTCTGGGTTGTTAGGGGTGATTCTCATCCCTTTTCTGCTTCTGCACTGAGTGAGGTTGGCAGGTGCACCTAGTGGAACAAGGCTTGGGCATTTCTGTGCAAAGTGTGAGGACAGGGATGGTTAAAGGAGAAAGTGCATTGACTGAGTCTAAAATGGATGAGCAGGGCTTCCCTGGTGGCGCAGTGGTTAGGAGTCTGCCTGCCAGTGCAGGGGACATGGGTTCGAGCCTTGGTCTGGGAAGATCCCACATGCTGCAGAGCAACTAATCCCATGCGCCACAACTACTGAGCCTGTGCTCTAGAGCCTGTGAGTCACAACTACTGAGCCCATGTGCCACAACTACTGAAGCCCACTCACTTAGAGCCTGGGCTCTGCAACAAGAGAAACCACCGCAGTGAGAAGCCCACGCACCGCAACAAAGAGTAGCCCCCGCTCGCCACAACTAGAGAAAGCCTGCGCACAGCAACAAAGACCCAATGCAGCCAAAACATAAAAACAAAAACAAAACAAAACAAAAATGGATAAGCATGTCATGCAGCTTATTTCTAAGTAGCAATTGTTCTAAGGGGCTGATTTGCCAAAGCTCATAGGACCCAACATCTTTTTCAAGTTAAAGTTTTAAACGTGGCATTTACAGAGGTAAGCATAGTGATGCCTCCTGACAGTTTCTCCTGTAAGTCTGTCCTCACCGTCCAGATGGAGATGGTGCTGATGAAGCTAGTGTCCTTTATGTGCAGACCTAAGTGTCTCCTCCTTTTCCCCATCTCCCTTCCCTGCCATAAGGTGGACAAACTTTTAGCTAAAAATTGATAAGTAGAAGTATTTTTTATGTACTTTCTGCAACCTACCTGAAAGAGTGGGAGAACACAGATCTGGTTGATGGGTAATCTCCCCTCTCATCCCGAATGCAGCAGGTGGTCCTCATATTCATATACAGACTCTTGGGGTCCTTCCTTTAGCTGACACCTGTCGGGATTCTAAGTATGGGCGCATCAACTTTGGTTATGAAGTAAGACGTGATGGAGGGTTTGAGCTGAGCAGTTGCATCCGTGCATTACCAGAGGCAGCTGTGCCCTGACCATCCCCAAAGGGGAGGCAGTGATGGACCAGAGGTGTTGGTGGTGCTCCAGTTAAAAGTGACACAGAAAGTACAGTGCATGTCATTGCCAAACACCTCCACCTACTAGAGAATATTCTGGTGTTTTGAAAGACTAGATTCAGAGGTGGGGCTGCCACGTGTGGAGCAAAACACCACCCCCGCCCACAAGAGCTGTTGCCCAGCAAGGTGGCCCTAAGAGGGCAGAGGCCACGCTCAGCGTGGAGGCCACTAGGCAGGAGCCTTTCATTTTGCCTAGGAGGAGGGTTCAGTGTCAAGACTGGGCTCCAGGTGGGCAGACGGGGACCTGCCTCTCACCTTCGCTCTCCTCTGTGTGTCCTCTAGGCCCCTGGGAGTGTAACCCAGGCCTCGAAAGGTCATTGAGGGGATTTAATGAGAGAATCCACACCCTTAGCCAATACGCTGGCTGGTCCTAAGTACTTTTTTTTTTTTTGAGGAAATACATTTATTATTACAATGTTGACAGAGCTCACTAGGCATTTGAAAAATAAATGAGTAAATCTGCATTTTTACCTCAAATAAATTTTTTTTCTTTTGCGGTACGCGGGCCTCTCACTGTTGTGGCCTCTCCCACTGCAGAGCACAGGCTCCGGATGCACAGGCTCAGTGGCCACGGCTCACGGCCCCAGCCACTCCGCGGCATGTGGGATATTCCTGGACTGGGGCAGGAACCCGTGTTCCCTGCATCTGCAGGCAGACTCTCAACCACTGTGCCACCAGGGCAGCCCTCAAATAAAATTTTTACCTAAAATAAAATCCACATGGGAGAGATATACCATGTTCTTGGATTGGAAGAATCAACATTGTGAAAATGACTATACTACCCAAAGCAATCTACAGATTCAATGCAATCCCTATCAAACTACCAATGGCATTTTTCACAGAACTAGAACCAAAAATTTCACAATTTGTATGGAAACACAAAAGACCCCAAACAGCCAAAGCAATATTGAGAAAGAAAAACGGAACTGGAGGAATCAGGCTCCCAGACTTCAGACTATACTACAAAGCTACAGTAATCAAGACAATATGGTACTGGCACAAAAACAGAAATATAGATCAATGGAACAGGACAGAAATCCCAGAGATAAACCCACACACATATGGTCACCTTATTTTTGATAAAGGAGGCAAGAATCTACAATGGAGAAAAGGCTGCCTCTTCAGTAAGTGGTGCTGGAAAAACTGGACGGCTACATGTAAAAGAATGAAATTAGAACACTCCCTAACACCATACACAAAAATAAGCTCAAAATGGATTAAAGACCTAAATGTAAGGCCAGACACTATAAAACTCTTAGAGGAAAACATAGGAAAAACACTCTATGACATACATCACAGCAACATCCTTATTGACCCACCTCCTAGAAAAATGGAAATAAAAACAAAAATAAACTAATGGGACCTAATGAAACTTACAGGCTTTTGCACAGCAAAGGAAACCATAAATAAGACAAAAAGACAACTCTCAGAATGGAAGAAAATATTTGCAAATGAAGCAACTGATGAAGGATTAATCTCCAAAGTTTACAAGCAGCTCATGCAGCTCAATATCAAAAAAACAAGCAACCCAATCCAAAAATGGGCAGAAGATCTAAATAGACATTTCTCCAAAGAAGATATACAGATGGCCAACAAACACATGAAAGAATGCTCTACATCACTAATCATTAGAGAAATGCAAATCAAAACTACAATGAGGTATCACCTCACACCACTCAGAATGGCCATCATCAAAAAATCTAGAAACAATAAAGGCTGGAGAGGGTGTGCAGAAAAGGGAATCCTCTTGCACTATTGGTGGGAATGTAAATTGATACAGCCACTATGGAGAACAGTATGGAGGTTCCTCAAAAAACTAAAAATAGAACTACCATACGACCCAGCAATCCCACTACTGGGCATATACCCAGAGAAAATCATAATTCAATAAGAGTCATGTACAACAATGGTCATTGCAGCTCTATTTACAATAGCCAGGACATGGAAGCAACCTAAATGTCCATCGACAGAGGAATGGATAAAGAAGATGTAGCACATATATACAATGGAATATTATTCAGCCATAAAAAGAAATGAAATTGAGTTATTTGTAGTGAGGTGGATGGGCCTAGAGTCTGTCATACAGAGTGAAGTAAGTCAGAAAGAGAAAAACAAATACCGCATGCTAACACATATATATGGAATCTAAAAACAAGAACAACAAAAAAAATGGTTCTGAAGAACCTAAGGGTAGGACAGGAATAAAGACGGAGACGTAGAAAATGGACTTGAGGACACGGCGGTGGGGAAGGGTAAGCTGGAACGAAGTGAGAGAGTAACATTGACATATACTTACTACCAAATGTAAAATAGCTAGCTAGTGGGAAGCAGCCACATAGCACAGGGAGATCAGGTTGGTGGTTTGTGACCACCTAGAGGGTTGGGATAGGGAGGGTGGGAGGGAGATGCAAGAGGGAGGGGATATGAGGATATGTGTATATGTGTAGCTGATTCACTTTGCTATAAAGCAGAAACTAACGCACCGTTGTAAAGCAATTATACTCCAATAAAGATGTTAAAAAAATCAACATGGAACAAACAGTTAAAGGTAAAGCATTAAGAGAATGGAAGAAAAGGTCTGAATATTTTTGTAATTTTGGCTAACAAAGTTTTCTATGCAAAGCCTATAAAGTGAAAGTAAAGAATGTGTTATATAATTTATATAAATATAAATCTATAAATGGAAGTTAAATCTGTGTTGAAAAATAAACTTTAAGAAGTGAAGGGAGAAACAGAAAAATATTTGCTACACATCTGACAGCAGCTAATATTCTTGACATCGTGAAACCTTCTTATAAGTCAGTAGAGAAAGGATGCCTGATCTATTTTGTTCAACATTTTTTCAAAGTGAATGAAAGATTCTTTTTTTAGACTTTATTGAAGTATAATTGATTTACAATGTTGTGTTAATTTCTGCTGTACAGCAAAGTGACTAAGTTATACCTATACATATTCTTTTTCATATTCTTTTCCATTTTGGTTTATCACAGGATATTGAATGTAGTTCCCTGTGCTCTACAGTAGGGCCCTGTTGTTTATCCATCCTGTATATAATAGTTTGCATCTGCTTAATGGTTCCGGCTGCTGGGACCCTCATCACTGACGGGTCCCCGCCAGCCTCCGATGGCCGTTCTGCTCTGCCTGCAGCCTGGAGAGCTTCCGCCAGTGCGGCATCACCCTGTGCATTTGGATTCTCCATCCTGTTCGCGTCCATCAGCAGCTCCGTGTGCGGGACAGGGTGACTGGGGCCACAAGGCTGCAGCACATGAGCGGCCTGGGCTACAGGACCTACTGGCTCACATCTTCCTGTGTGACATGGTAGGACTCGGGGCCATGTCCCTCTGTGTCCCTGCACCCGGGGGACATGTGTGCGCACAGACCTGCGTGTGTGGGGGTGTGTGGCCGCCCCACGTGACCCACAGAAGCAGGGCGGTTTCCTGGACGTGTGTCTGAGGTCTTGGGGACAAAGCCATGAGCAAAGCAGGGAGGGTCTCCGTCTTGAGGAACTTGTGTCCTTATGAGTGGGAGCAGAAAACAAACAACCAAGTAAAAATAAATAAATACACAAGATGCAGTTGGCTCGTGACTAGGTTTATCAGGAGAACGGACGAGGGCCATGGGATCGAGGGTGACTTCAGAGCAAAGCTGCGGAGGGGCCCTGCAGCCAGAGAAGGGGGGCTGGCGAGCAAGCCCCCAGGGGAGGCCGGGGTTTGTCAACCCGCGGTGGGGAGGAGCTGGCTGCCGGGCGGGGGGGTCTGCCGTTGGTTCTGAGTGTGGGAAGAAGCCGTGTGTCCTGGGAGGGGGCTGGATTCCTGCCCCTTCCCCGTGGGAGGTGGGTGTGGGCGGCCGTGTTAGTGGCCCCCCGGCTTGCAGAGAGGCACAGAGCACAGACATTTATCTAATCGCCTTCTGGAGACTGGAAGGCCTGCATCCAGGTGTGGCAGGGCTGGTGCCCCCTGAGGCCTCTGTCCTGGGCACGTGGACGGCCGCCCTCTCTGTGTCCTCACCCTGTGTTCTCGCCTCCTCTTTTCACGAGGACAGCAGCCCTGTGGGATCCAAGCCCATCTTAAGGACCTCGTTTAACATGGATCTGGAAGGAGACTCTCCAGGCCCGAGTCCGCTGCTGCAGACTGTGTGCCGGGCCACACGGGCCACAGACCTAAGCTGGAGCTGACCTGAGGGCCGGACGGTCAGGAGATGGTGGTACACAAGCCCCCGACGTAACAGGCCCTCTTCCCGTGATTTTCTCAGCTCTTTTACTCGGTTTCTGTCTGCCTGTGTGTCGCTGTGCTCCTCGCCTTCCAGTTAATGGCTTTCACTTTCCGGGAGAACCTGGCAGCCACAGCCCTCCTGCTGGCACTTTTTGAGTATGTGATGAGAAGCACAGCTGCAGAATTATGGTGTGTTTTCTGAAGGACAGAACCCCCTGGGGCGGCTTTGAGCCTGCTGTCGGCTTCATGGTTTTCTCTCTTTCCAAGCAATTATGCTGCTTCTTCCGACCAGCCTGAGCAGGACGTCCGGGGCCCCTGCTCGGAGGGTGGGTGATGGCAGCGGCTTCGGTTCCAGCTCAGTGTCCGTTACTCACTCAGCTCCAAAACTGTCCTCGGGGAGCCCGTGAAGCTCTATGTCTGCTGTAGTTTTCTCTCTCCTGACATTAGTAGTTTGGAAATGTTTTGTCTAACTTCTATCACTTTTTCTTTTCTCGCAGGAAAAGTAGCAAAGCCAGAAAAGTCATTTTACAAATTTCCCGTTTGAACGCACTAATAAGGATCGTTGCTAGCAGTCCCCAGATCATACCTGCCGGGTATCAGGAATGCATAATGTCATCCTCTTCTACAGGTCATGCATATTTGGCTATAGATCTAGGCTAGGTATGTGAGAGATACTTGCTAATAGGGAAAATAATTAAAGTGCTGATTTATTTTAATTTAAGGCTAATATATATATTTTAAACAGAGCATTCTGCTTTTTTCTAAGCCAAAGATTACAAGTAAAATGATTTTTACATAGATGACAGTTGTATCAGTGATCCAGACTTATTCAAAGCATCTAATTAGGGACAAATTATATCATTATTGGATAAATAGATACATGGATGGGTGGATGGATAGATGGGGCGCAAAGAGAGAGACAGAGAAACCTTTTTAGGAATACGGACATTGCCACTAACTCTGTGACCTTGGAAGTGTTCATTTCTCTCTCTAAGCCTCACTGTCTTCCGTGTAGAATACAATTCTGTTGCTGTGGAAAGGATATCAGGTCATTCAGATAAACCTCCCCTACAGTGGCCGTCAAGGGTTCCCATTAAATTACTTTTAGTTGTTATTGTTACTATAAGAATTATTTAATATTTAGAGGATATTGTGTCTTAAGCTCTAAAGCATGCCTATAGTAGAGACATGTTTTCTATACTCAGCCGGATATAACGATCTACATACGTGGGCTCCTGGTGCTAAAGAAATGATTTGATTTCAGTTTATTGATCCGGTTGAATGCATAGTGTGGTCATGTTTCCTTATAGTGTGAGCAAAATATGTTTTGCTGTAAATTATTTTTGAACTTTAGAGAGCAGATTTCAAAAATTAAGGTGAAACTCAGACAAAGTCGCATGGTGAGACGCTCTTACAAAAAACGTGTTTTTAGGAATTTTCCTTAACCTTGTTTTGCTTGTTTGCTTTGCTTCCTTTAAGAATCTGAATTAAGCTAGAATTCTGTCCACATTCATGATTACAGCACTTTTCAAACAAGTTCAGGGGACTCACAGGTCTCTCGAGTTACATTCATGGCCCAACATGGTGGCCACCTCAGATGGAGGGGTCTTAGGTGAGAGGGGCCCAGAGGACCTGGAAAACTGCCCCAGGCCGGTTCCAGTGGACGAGAGCAAGGGGGCTGCCGACCGGACTCTCAGGGTGACCCCCCAGGGGCTAGTTCAGGTTTAAAGGGTGGTCCTTCCTCCACTGGAGGCCAGGCCTGCACACAACCTGACACGGTGACCCCCCAGCAAGAGGAGGGGCCCTTGGGGCCCCAGTGGACGAGAGTGCCGGCTCGCAATCCTGTCCCCACGAGGAGCCCAGAACCATCGCAGAAAGGCTGCATCCCAGAATAAGCTGAGACCAAGAACACGGTCAGGCATTAAATGGGGCTGTTTGTCTGGAATCTGGGAAAATTGGGGAATGTGTAAATGAATAGACTCTCACAAGACATAATAGGACAAAGTGCCCAGTTACAATTTTCCTTTATCTTTTCTTTTTTTTCTTTCTCTCTGTGGAGGAAAATTTGATATTCAAGCTGGAAAGGGAGGAGAATTCACATCAAAAGAGAAAAAAATAACACCTGAACATCTCAGACAGAGAAGAGAATCTGGCTTACATAAAAAATGGAAACCTTAACCGCATACTTGGTGCACATCTAGTACTAAAGGATTATGAAGATGAGGTCACAGAATCCTGGTCCATGTCTGGAAAATCCTGCAATGTGGAGGTGGGACCGCTTTCAGAGGGAGGAAAACCCCATAAACGGTAGAGTAGTTATGAGCGGGCTGCCACCCTCCAGGGTTAATCGTTAAAACGATATCATAGTTTAGTAAAAGAACGGCGGTTCTAAAACGTATGTTTTACCAAAAAATAAATTATGCACTTTAAGCCAATTTAATTCTTTCCTTGAAAAGAAAAAAGCAGGACGACTGGAGCCACCAATATGTTTATTTGAACCAAGCATTGATATTTAAGAGCAGTTGCATTAAAGCACTCACCTCTACCTTGCATGCTCGAGAACCGTTTTCTTCACGCCTGAATTATGAAGCAGACTGCTGTTGACAACTGTATGATTTTATGTATACTATTACATATATATATGTGCTATTTTCTGAAATACGAGGGTGTATCTTTTGACCCAGGGACGAATACCATAGATTTCATGTGGAAAAGGAACTACTCAAATCAAAAGCTATCTTGAGGGCCTAGCGTCATTTTGAAGTCTCATGCTTTTCAGAGCTAGTTAACGTATTAAGGAAACCTCAGGCATTTAGAAGCTACCAAGGTATTTCAAGTGAAACCACTAAATCAGCCTGAGAAAATGGTGACAGGTTTGCACTGAGTGTGCAGAGAGCACATGGGAGCACGCAGGGTCTTCAGAGAAAGGTCGTGACTTAAAGTCAGTGACTTCAGCTGTTTCATACATTCTGTCAATAAAGCAGACCGTATTCATAAATGTGTACATACATCATCATGGTTCTTATAACGACCTAATATATTTTCAATTGATAAATTTTGTTGACTGTTCCTTTCCATGAAATGGGAAGAATGCTGCATGAAAGAATAAAAATAAAGACAGTGAAGTAAGTGACTCTTCTGCCGGTACTTGCGGCTTCCTTTCCTGGGGCGGAGCAGGGTGGGGGTCACAGAGGAGCCTGAGGTGAGTCGGCCGCGAATGAGCCCTGGCTCTGTGCTCTGGAGAAGGAAGAAGGAAGAGGTGTTTTCTTTAGAGGACAATTTTGGGTGTCTTCTTAGAGCGTGAGGTCATCTGAAACTTCCGGGGGCCGCTTCGCGGGTCCAGCCCTCACGCTCCGGCTTCGGGCTCACACACGAATCACCCCCGCTTTCAGCTCCTGCTTCTCAGCCGTGGGTCCGTGGTCAGGTATCTTAGCCGCGTCCATCCCATGTCCTATCTGTGAAATGGGGCCGTGGCACCCGCCTTCAGGGCTGTAGGATCAGGGAACACCCTGGAGGCATACGGCATGGAGCCTACGCACGGGCCACCCCAGAAAGGAAGCTTTCCAGTTCTATGTTATGTCCTCTTTTAATATAGAGCTTCCCACCCTTGGTAGCTTTAGTCATTTAATCTTCTCTGAAAAACAGGTGTATCCCTGCTCTGCTGAGGAGGCTGTGAGCAGAAAGGGAGGCCAGGCCTACCCTGTGCGGGAGGGGACACTGGGGCTTTCTCCAAGGTCGCACGTCCTAGCCCGGGTTGGACCCTGCCCAGGGCTCTGCCCATATATTACGGAAAATGTGCTTTGTCTTTAGAAAATAACTGCTGGATTTATTAAATAAAAATTGCTCCTGTTCACTGAGGGAGGAAAAATAACCAGGCCAGCAAAATCTCATCTTTAAATCAGTCTGTATAGAAGTAAGTGTTACAGGACAAGGAACATGACTTTTCACTTGACATTTCAGATGCGCAACTGTTCCATGGATGTATTTCATCTCCTGAATCTTCTTCAGTTCGGACGTGGCTTTCATCTGCTACATCTCCCTGAACTTCCTCCTCGGCCTCTGCACCATGCTGATGACCGTCACGCCCTGGCTGTTGGCCTTTGTCTCCAAGGCTCAGGTTAGTGACCTCCCACAGGCTCTGGGACTAACGCCTAGACTACTGTTGCTTTTCCAGCTGGAGCTCAGCGCAGATGTGCTGGTATCCACTGTCTTTACCTCCAGAAAGAGACACTGACTCTGCTTCGCAGAAACCCCTGTGCCTTGATAAGCCCAGAGCCAGGCTGGCAGCAGTGGGCACAAGATGAGCAGTTGGTGCACCCGCTTTGTGAGTGGAGGGCAGGCTGAGCCGCGCGTTCACAGCGCATCCCTGTTTGCGGGTGAATTGCCAATCGATGGTTGGAAGAGTGGCTGTGTGTGTGGAGCGTGTCCTGTGCTGGCGTCAGGGGCGCAGGGGTCAGACATTCCTCTCTTCCGGGTCAGCTGCTCCGGTGTGGGATTGGCCCCCACGCAGACCACACTGTCAGGCCACAACAGGTCTGTATTGTCCGGGCGATTCTGCCCTCTGAGCCCCGGGGCATGTTTAGATTTGCTGCTTTCAGGGTGTTGGAGCAGAGGTCTCCAAGAGACTGGACTCCTAGTCGAGGACCATTACTCCTGGTGAGGAAGTACCTGTCTCAGGGAACCCCTCCAGGAGGCCGTTTGCATCGGGAGGCCCCTTTTGGGTGTCATCCCAGCAGGCGTCGAGGTCCAGTGGAAACCAGCTCTGCTGACACCCCGCTCTTGTCCTTCCATGCTCCTCCCCGTGAGGCCTGCCGGGGTGGTGTCTGCTTTAACTCATCTTCCGTCTTGCTCAGCCTCCCCTGAGCTGCCTGTGGGAATGAATTTCATAGTCTGCACCCTCCTCTGCCCCGGATTTCCATACATTTCTTTCCTGCTTTCTTTCTTGGCTCTGACCACACAGGTCTCTCCTGACCCCTGCTGTCCATGTGGATGCCGTTCCTCTCTACTCCTGGGGCTGGATCGACTCAGGGGCTGAGGAAACAGCCTGGGAAAGGCCCGGCCTCCCAGTTCTGGAGGATGGGCTGCTGGTCGGTGTCTGGCGAGTCCGGGACTGAGGCCTGTTCCATCGGGACGGGCTCCCTTCCTGGTGCCCGGACGCGCCGGGACTCGGTCAGCTGTGCAGCAACGGCTCATCTTATTTGCTGCTGTTGTGCCTCACGTTTGTACAGAAGCAGTGAGCTCTGTAAACATTCATTATGCATCCAGTGAAACAATTTATTTTGGTGATTTTTATAGATCTATTATTGACACTAATCTGTATTAGTGTCTTTAGCCTTTAAGTAGCAGCTAGCAGAATGAGTCACTGGCTTTAGCTTGAGGAGAGCATTGAAATTGAGGAGGCAGAACAGGGCTTCCCTCGTCCCCATCGGAGCTCAGATATGACGTGGATCCTGGTCATGAACTAAAGGGGGAGGAAGACAGACTCAAGGGGGACAATCCCCGCCCCAGGGGACGGGTCACACACAGAAGAGAAGGGCCAGGAATCCAGATTCTAAGGCTAAGGTGAGTGGGAGGCTTTGTTCCCTCCTGTTATAAGTAGCATCACTCATCTGGAGAGAAATCAGCAAGCAGGAAGTTGTTTGCAAAAAAGTGGGTCAAACTCAATTGTTAACAGATAATAAAAGGCATTTCATTGCTGTTGCTAAGGTCTTTCTTTTCCTTTGCTCTTTATTTTGATATAGTTTGCTTAAAAAACTCAACGTGATAAATGGGTGATTTCAAATATTCCTTTGTAAGTTCGAGGGGCAATATATTCTTATGAAATCACGGAATAAGACAAGAAAGGTGACTAGATTTTCAGATCAGTATCAAATGGCAGTGTAAGTGGTATTAACCATTGTGTATACAAACGACAACATTAATATGAGCATTTTACTTTTTACCAAATCAGTTTCTAAGCTGATGTGTACAGAAAAGGCATTTTGGGTTCTAACTCAGGATGTGGAGCATCTCTCTCTCCCACCGCTGAGGCTGTCTTTTGACGGGAGGGCGATGTAGGTAGATGAAAAACTCATAGTTTGAGTAATTTATTTCTCTACTTGATCAGTCGCTACATATTGTGAATTAGACACTCATAAATTGCTGCTCCGTGAATTTGCGTAGCCACGCCCATCACACGTGTAGATTATTTGCTGAGTGTCATGCGTTAGAACAGCTTTGTTCACATGGGAATAGACACCAGTGTGAATCTCTTACAGTCAGATCTGAGTCCTCATTATTAATTATTTCCTGAACTGTAAGATCCTGACTTAAAAGCTGTAATAGTCTCCTATTTTCATCTTATAACTAGGAAGACAAAAATCTTTCATGTCGTACATTATTTGATCCAGGGACATAGTTTTATGAAAAGTGGGATTAATACATTCCTTTAGGACTGGAGGAAATCTGTAAATAGTGGTAGTCAGTGAAGACCAGAACTAAGGGAAAATTAAATGAACCTTTCATGGTTTTCCCATGTCTATATGCAGAAGACAATAAACTGTAATATACTAACAATACATACCCCTAAAAGTCTTCATTGAATTTTCTATTGTCTCCAGATCACACTAGTTGAGACTACTCATTGTGGACAGCTGTAAATTTGCGTGATAAGGGAGAACTGGACATTACTGAGTATGAGATATATAATTGGCGGTTTTATAATCTTTCTCTACAAAGAGCTCTTAATTTGCTTTCTCTTTCTTTCATTGTACAGAATTTGCAGAACATCTGCGACGTCCTCAAGTGGGTCTTCACTATTTTCCCTCAATTCTGCCTGGGTCAAGGGCTGACAGAACTCTTGTTACAATCAGATCAGATACAACCTGACCCACAACTTCGGCATCGATTTGTACATGAGCCTCTTTGAGATGAGCTTCCTGGGCTGGATCTTTGTGCAGCTGGCGGTACAAGGGATGGTCCTTCTCCTCCTGAGGGCCCTGCTGCATGGGGACCTCTGGCAGTGGCCCAGGTATGTCCCTCGGGGCCCGTCCTTGATGGCAATTCCAGCCTGGAGGCTGCAAGACAAGAAACGTTCTGATCAGTGTCATACACACTTCTGTTAGTTAGGATTTTACGGGGTTTTTTGTTTGCTTTGTTTTTGTTTATTTGTTTTTTTATTAGTGAATGAACGACATTAGGAAGGAGAATGTCAAGAGCAAGGGGTCAACCTGTGAGATAATCGATCCAGTTTTTCAATTGCCTCAATGAATTTTCTCCTTTAGTATTGCTCAGTTTTCCTCTTATTTTGATTGTAGCATCTAAGGTGAATTTGGTTGATGCCATAATATAATTTACTTTTATGGTGAAATAGCATCAACTCCTAAAAGCAGGAATGTATGGAAATCCAGTGCCGATAACCACTTACCCTGTTGCTACTACTGCTTATCATGTTCTTCTTATTGATTTAATATTATTTAATTAATGATGCTAATAACGTTCTCCTGTTTCTTAGCTGAGGATGAAAGTCCAAGGGGTATACGTGCGTGTGTGGGCTGACCATACGCATCTGCGTGTACCTGTGCCACACAGCATCCTTACACCCACCTCCCTGTATCCTCAATAGGGTTTCAGGTGGTTTTGCAAGGAGATCTGAAGTACTGTCAGATAATGCATTTTAAATATTAAGAAAGGAATGTGCTTTCCTGTGTAGGGTCCACAATGCGTGTCTCTCCCTCCGTAATGCTTGTGGCCTGAATCTGTCGACTTGCTCTTTCCAAGAAAGGGATCCTTTCTGGAGAAATCACTAATTAGGACCATATCACAGGAGAACCTATTAAAGATTATAGACACACTGTTAGCATTTTGTGGCGATTTCCTTATAGGATTTCCCTGTCTCAGTCACTTCATCGACGTACCTCCTTTATAACCCCTTTAATCTGCTCAAGTGGAGAACCATTTTGAATACACATCACAAAGCTCTAGAACTGGCCACAATCCCCCTGGAATCTGTAGATTTCCAATACTGACTGCGTTTGAAATAGAATTCTGAGTGCCTTTCAAGCGTAATTGGTTCAGTAATGGGCCCTCACTAGTTTGATCTGTCGTGAACCCTGTTCTGTAGAATCCCCTCCGGCAGATTTCAGGGTGTCCCGTCCTCCTGCAGCACTGAAAGATCTTTCTTTCAAGACTTCCGGTATTACCTTTACTTGGTAAAGTATAAGTGAAACCATGTTTTAGGATAACGTCCTCAGGGCTCCCCTGGTGGCGCAGTGGTTAAGAATCTGCCTGTCACAGGGGACACGGGTTTGAGCCCTGGTCTGGGAAGATCCCACATGCCGCGGAGCAACTAAGCCCGTGTACCACAACTACTGAGCCTGTGCTCTAGAGCCTGTGAGTCACGGCTATTGACCTGGCGTGCCACAACTACTGAAGCCCATGCGCCTAGAGCCTGTGCTCCGCAACAAGAGAAGCCACTGCAATGAGAGGCCTGCATGCTGCAATGAGGAGTGGCGCCTGCTCGCAGCAACTAGAGAAAGCCCGCGTGCAGCAATGAAGACCCAACACAGCCAAAAATCAATAAATGAAATAAATAAATTTATTTAAAAAAGAATAACATCTTTGTTATTTACAGTAAATAGTCAATATTTGTTGTTCTTTGTCAATGTGAAGGTTACAGAGTCCAGAAATTTAATGTAATTTGGACATTAGTTGCCTATCACTCCTTTATGGACAACTGTCACAATAATGATCTGACCAAATTCATGTGTTTTTAAAATCCAGGTCACTAATCATTGGCTGAAAGATAGGTCCACGGTTCTCAGCCAGGCCCCTCCAGTCCAGCCCCTCACACCCAGGGATGCTGCATGGGGTGTCCCCTCTGCCCCCACCCCTGACGTTGGCGTCTGGTCCCCTGCCTGGACTGGTCCTTTGCCAGGACTGACTGCCCCGCCTCCAGGACCCTCCTCGTGCCCCTCCCGTCTCCCAGGCCAGGTTTGACATCCTCCCTGTGTTTCCAGTAGAGCCTGTTTTCTCCATCAGGGCCGTCTGTGTTTTTTGTTGTTGTTGTTTCTCTTTTTTTAAAATTTTTATTGGAGTGTAGTTGATTTACAATGTTGTGTTAGTTTCAGGTGTACAGCAAAGTGAATCAGTTATACATATACATGTAGCCACTCTTTTTTAGATTTTTTTTCCCATATAGGTCATTACGGAGTACTGAGTAGAGTTCCCTGTGCTCTACAGTAGGTCCTTATTAGTTATCTATTTTATACATGTGTATATGTCAGTCCCAATCTCCCAATTTATCCCGCTCCCCCTTACCCCCCAGTAATCATAAATTTGTTTCCTACATCTGTGACTTTATTTCAGTTTTGTAGATAAGTTCATTTGTAGCCTCTTTTTAGATTGTACATATAAGCAATATCATATGGTATTTGTCTCTGTCTGACTTACGTCACTCAGTATGAGAATCTCTGGGTCCATCCATGTTGCTGCAAATGACATTATTTCAACACAGTGCCATTTGTGCCAGTGTTGTTTCACAGCGTTTGTCTGTTACTCTCCTCTACTTTGCATTCCTTCACGCAGGAACTGTTTTACACTGTCGCAGTCAGATCATGGAAAGAATAGGAAGACCCTGCCCTCTGCATCTACACAGATGCTTCCTGTGTCCCCTCCCAAGCGGCGTGTCCCCCACCTGCCCGGGTGCCCTTCCCTGCCCGGCACCTGTCCCCGTCCTGCAGTCCTGCTGCCGCCCGTGTTGTCTGCTCAGATCTGGGTCTCCATCGGAACCTGAGCTCCGGCCACACCCGAGTCAGGTTGGGTGGGCTTTGGGGGGCTCCTGTTTGTTCTCTCTCTGGTCTGGGGCTGGACTCTGCTCTCTGTACCCCAGGCCCTGGCTGGGTCCGAGGAGCCACACAGCCCAGGGCAGCGTCTCCCTTCAGATACATCAGCTGCACCGAATCCCTGCAAAGTCCTGCTACACCAGCGCCCGTCAGGATCCTTCCTTTGTAACGCAGATGCCATTTTTCATGATCGGCAGTTGGAAGACGGCCAAGTGGCCCACTTCTCAGCGCAGGGGACGAGCTGCATGTGTGTTGCTGAGAGGAGGCTGACAAGCAGTGACCTTGCTCAGTGCCCCCCATCCATCAGAGCCACTTGAGATGTAACCAGTAGGCATCTGCACCGGAACCCTGGGGGCAGACGCCCTCTGGGGACAAGACCAGGGAGCAGGTGTAAAGCTTCCCAGGTGATGCTAATGAGGAGAATTAACTGATGCAGCTCGGAAACAGGGAGGGGTTAGATGGCACCACGTCCTGGCACAGGGAGAGACGACCTCTGGACAGCCAGGCCAGGCTGAAGGGCCAGGACGCACCCTCCCCTGGGAAAGGGGGGACAACAGTCAGCAAGAAAAGTGTACAACTCAGTGGATCTCCATAAACTGAGCACACCTGTGTTCCCTTCTCCCAGACAGGAGCAAGAGCCGCTCAGAAGCCCTCCACAGTCCCCTGCGGGTCATCCCCACTCTGTAGATAAGCGCTGCTATTTTTATCACCACTGATTCCTTTCTCATGCTTTTGAATATTATGTAAATTACACCATATAACACATACTCCTGAGTAGCTATGTTTTCTCATCATCTACGTTGGGTCTTGAAAAATTATATGTTTGTCCAGTGGTGATTGCAGGTATGGAAAAAATAATACAGGGAAAGGAGCTGGGGCCACTGGGATCTAGATGTGGATATTTTATTTTATTTTTAATACCTTTTAATTTTAAAATAGTTTAAAGCTCACAAGAAATAGCAAGATTAGTACAGAGAGAGCCTATGTACGCTCCCAGTGATACTGTGATAATGTAATAATACAGTACATCACAATGTTACATTGATAAAACCAGGAAATTGATGTCGGTACAAGACTGTCTCATTGTCTGTACTCATTTAGTTATTAAAATATGGGCATATTACAGTTTTCAGAAATTGAGATTTACTTGAAAGCTAAAATGCACCAGAAAGAAAATCATAAGATTGGAAAGTGAGCTAGCTCAGATTTTGAGTCAACAAATCAGAGGTGAAAGTTCACTTTATGTTCATCTGACAGGTGTCTGCTGAGTGCTTGCTGTGCGTCCTTCTACACCATCCAGCACATGCTACGGAGCCATAGTGTTTGGGGACTTTTGTGGGTAATCTACTTTATTAAAGAGCCTGTTTGCTAAAAGTGGTCAAAGTTGATTTCTTATACCTTTGCGATAAATTACTTGTCTTCTAGCACAAAAGTCTGGCATCACTTTATTGCTCGTAAAATTGAAAAGTAGTTTGAGTTTGGTGTCCATCCACGTCACTGTCTTTTAGGCTGATGTACATTTCCTTTGCGTTAGAGGATGAATGTTGACCCCTGATAGTAACCGGCCAACGGGATGCAGAACTCGGGTGCGTGGGCCAGAGCTGGTACCGCAGACTCTGGGGACCACGTCTTCTGTTCAGATGACCTCTGACCTTTCTCTCCCTCTAGATTCTTCCGGTCCATTTCCCAGGTGTGAATTAACTCTGACTTACCCTCCCAGGGGTCACTCTGCCATTCGAGGCACAGTCACATCTTCCAAGGACGTAGATGTTGAAAAAGAGCAAGTGAGGGTGTTGGAAGGCAGAACTAGTAGAGACATTCTCATGTTGTACAACCTTAGTAAGAGTTACAGAGGCTTCTTCAAGAGGGCTTACTCAGGGGAGAGGTAAGAAAGCTTCTGTTTGTACCTTTGCAAACCACCGTCACTCTAATTGTCCATCTGTTCATGTTATTCTCAGGATATCTGAAATGGAAACTAAGAGCAGCTTCACATTTCAGGAACCTCTGCAGGGTCTAGGTGGAGAGTCAGTCGACTCTTTCCCTAGTGAAAACTCTGCTGATTGAGTGATGGGGTTTTTTCTGTCTCATAATTTTTAAAATGTAAGTGATCAGTGAGTTTTAATTAGTTTGGCTTATGGGGTGACTCTATTGAGTGCAAATATTTTATAAATCCAATTAATTAAGGAAACCACTTCTAACTCCTGCTTGGACTTCAGTACTCTTTAAGTGGCCAATTAAGCCCGTCTAGTAATATGCTATTCTGGAAAGGTAGAAACACTCACACACTATAGCCATAGCTCAGAGTTGTTTTTCCATGAACGTGTGTGTGTCATTAATTCTAGTAGAAATGTTTAATCTGAACTGACAGAAGCCATACAAATTGTTCCCAACATGTGTTTAATGCATAAAGGGAAATCAGTTCTGGAAATGATTACCTTTAATTAACTGTTAAAAAGAAAAAGAGTATCTCGCATTCACATTGTACCAAGCTTCTGAGAGATTCAAAGTATGTTATATCGTTATCTGATTGGTATCCATGCTCTATTTGTGAGCGGATCTGAGGTAAAGAGAAGCCAAGAGATGGGTCTGAATCCATCCAGGGACCCTTGACCCTCACCGAGGTGTGTGGTCAAATGGGACAGAAGTTAAAGAAGTGGTTTGTGCAGTTGTTGGCTACTCAACTCTAAGACTGGCTACGTGATTTTTGCCATCTTATGGAAATGTTTTCTTACCCTTGCTTTAAAAAATAAACGTCTGTCTTGCTACTACCTCTCCTCTAGTTTTAAACTAAAGTGTGAGAGAAAAACTTGGAAAACTTCCTGTAAGAGATGCTCCAAGTCTCTGAAATGACCCAAGACGCATTTACCTTCGGGTTCTCTTCACTAGGCTGTTAACGAGCATCTGAGTTTAATGGCTTAGAGGTAACGTCCTATGCAAGAGCCTGCAGAAGAGACGGGCGGCTAAGATGTGTCCCCATCCCTCTAGGAATTAATAATCAGGTAGGAAATGGGAGATAACAAACATACACAGTGTTGCATAACAGCAGGGCAAGGGTCAAAGGCACAGAGTGAATCGCCTCGGAGCTGTAAGTCCAGAGAGGGGGCCTCAAAGGAGGAACGGGAGCATCGTGGGAGTGGGGAAGGCAGGGGGTGTGCTGAACTTTATGAAAAAGGACGGTTCAGATAAACTTAAGCCTAAGCCAGGAGGGTAGATAGAGTTCAGATAGGCTGATGGTTTGTACCTGGGATAGCAGCTTAAGTGTGGTCTGTGACGCGAGTGACATGGGACAGGACAGGTCTGCAGCAGGATGGACCCCTATATCAGAGCGTGGGAGAGACCCAGTCAAGGTGGAGGAAGCATGAGTGTTGAAGCAGGTGGCACCTGGAGCTACAAAATAGGGTTCTGTGATAAGCAGGTGGGCTTGGCCAGAAGAAACCCAGAACAGTCTCTTTTCCAGGGTTCAGGGAACCAGGAAGCCAGCTTAGGTCAGGAGACATCGGGAAACAAGTGTTCTGGAAGGAGATCAGGAAGAATGAAAACGTCTCAGCTTCCACCACAGAATCCCCAGCTAAGGATATCCAAAGGTTCAAGGTAGAGGCTGGGGCCGTGAAAGAGCGAGGCCATTGTTTCCTCCACGGAATGTAAGACAGAGTGAAGCAGGAGATGTGACCTGGTACTGAGCGAGAGTATGGGAATAGAGGGCCTTCTTGACTAGTGTCAGCGTTAGGCTACAGTCGGAGTGAGAGGAGAGAGCCAGAGAGACGGAGAGATTCAGAGACAGAGACGGAGAGGAAGGCAGGGGAATAATAACGATAATGATGATGTGACTCCTAAAAAATATTGCGCTTACCAGAGGGACATAGTTGGGGGCCTGTTGGGTGCGCCCTGGATAGGACAGGAAATTTCAGCATAATTTGTGGTAGTTGGCCTTCACTTCTCAGCCTCTTGAGTTTTCCAGACGTGAATTTGCTTACTCGTCTGTGAATTAACACTGAAATTACGCCACTCAAATGCCACGGTGATTTCAGAAGTACTGCATGAGCTATAAAACGCGTTATACATTTATTTTATGACTGTAAAAGTCTACAAATAACACAAACCAAAAATATCAACTCAGAGTTGGGTGAAAGCAAGTGCTGTTTCCGATATAATTTTGATTTTATGGTTTGTTTGTTTTCTCCTCTCAGTGCTTTCGGCTTCTACAGGTGAACGGAGCTGGGAAAAGCACCACATTCAAAATGCTGACCAGGGACCTGCCTCCGAGCTCGGGACACACCATCCTTAGGACTCCCATGGGGTAAGATTTAATCAGATTTAATTGTTTTGCTGCCTGTAGAGATAATCATCAAGGCCAGAGACCCCCAGCCTCCCTTCAGTCCTGTGCACTAAAGACAGAGGAGATCATTTCCCTCCAATTTACTTTCCAATGACCACTCCTCACAAGGGGGAAAAGAGCCTCCAGATGGGAATGAAATGAACTTGACGTTTCTGGCCAGAGGGTAGAGGAGGTGTTGGCAAAAGCTGCCCAGGGCTGACCCCTTCCAGGGGCGCCGGCTGCTCTGCCCCATGAACCCAGGTGAGCAAGGAGTAGTCAGGGGCTGGTTCTTCTTGCTTTGCCATCTGTTGGAGCTTCAGACGCCCTCCCCCAGTGCAGGGACCAGAAAGGGCATGGTGGTTTCATCGTTTGCCCACCCGGACCTCATCTTTCGGACAGTACAGCAGTTTTCCAGCTAGTCTTCCAATAGCGTTCCTATCACTGTTCCCAAATCCCGTCCTCTACCCCACTCTTCTGATTCTCAGTGCTGTGTGATGACGTCCTGGCCTATATCTTTCTGCTCTTCCTACTATAGCGAATTCATTGTAACTTGATAACAGGTTTCAGAAATCTGTCGTTGAACTGACGTAAAGAAAGAGACATGCCTTGTGCTACATTCTCTGAAGGTCATGATATAGCCACCAAGTTCTCAGTGCTGGACTTGATTTCACAGTCTGTCTACCTGGGATCCTAGAGTTATTCCTAAGTAGACTTGGAAGTAATTTGCTTGAGATTTTTCTTATATAGTTTCAAATACATTCATAATTGAAAAAAGTTCAAAAATATCATAATCATCCATTAACTAGCTGATTCTTTGCATCAACAGATAGTTTATTGTCCATCTATGGTGTGCCAGGCACCAGGAAGACAGAAATTGTTCCTGTGATCCTAAAACCCAGTGTCAATATTCGTATGTCTCCTACTAGTTTAATTTAAACATGCATAGATATCTGTGTGTATATATCTAATTTTATCCATTATCTGCGTGTGTCTGTGTGTATGTGAAATGTAGGTGATTAAATATGTAGAGAGATGTGTATTTTAAAATCAGACATGATCATAAAGATCATTGTGTAGACTTCATTTATACTTATTGCATGAACATTTCATAATCCTCTTCAACAATATTTATTAAAAGATTTAATTTTTTAGAAGCCTGGTGGGCATGCCATTTCATTGTTAGATTAATTTGCATTTTCTTGATGACTCATGAACTTGACGGGGCGCTCGCCCCACATTTATCTGTTGCCCGGGGTTTCTTTCTGCCAGTCGTCTGTCATGACCATTGTTCTTTTCTTATAAGGTTGTCTTTTTGTTACTCATTGTGTACGAGTTTTTAATACATTCAACTAGTAATTAATCCTTTGCGTGCTTTATATGTTTTAAGTATTAGCTTCAGTGGTACCTTGTATTTTAACTCTGTTTTAAAAGTTTGTGTGTGTAGAGGTTCTCAGTTTTGATAAGACTGACTTATTCTTTTTTTTCCTTTGCTATCTCTTGCTTTTTGAGTCTCAGGAAATTCTCTTTCTAAAGTAATAAAATTATTCTCCATAGTTTCTTTTCAGAGGCTTCTATTCTGCATTCATGTTTCTAATTTATATGGAGTTTATAATTGAATATATGGTGTAATGGAAAAACAGTCTGATTTCTTTTTCTGCTCCTGAATTCCAGTTTGCCTACGGCCATTTTTACAGCCACGTGTCTTTCGTCTGTCAGTTGGAAGCATCTCCTGCTCTGTACCGAGTGCTCAGCCAGGCTGGGACTCAGCTTTGCCACCTCCTGCTTCAGATGCATCCTGGTGGGTTGCACCACCTATCTGTCTTCCTGGTTTTTCCTTTCCAGGACAGTCTGGATTACTTTGGGCCCTTTACGAGGTATTATTTTTAGAATCATTTTGATAACCTGTATAAGAATGTCAAAATATTTGAACCTTGATTGGAATTGAATCAAATTTATTTTATAATTTGAAGAGATTTGCATCTCTATGATATTTTGTCTTCCTTATCCTTAAGTCTGGTAGTTACCCATTTATTCAGGTCATTTAAAAAGCATCGATTCAGTATGTTGCACTTTTCTTTATAGAATCCTTGCATATCTATCTTAGATTTAGTCATCCTGATGAATTTGTCTTCATCAGGAGGTAATTCATGTCTTAATTGTTTATTTTTTGGGACTTTCTTCTTTGGTTTTTTCATGGCTAGAGACGTTGCTGGTTTACCTCGCGAGTGAGCTTATGTGATTTTACTCTCATTCTCTCTTTTGCTGTCACCTTCTGTGTATCAGTTTGCCGCTCTTTCCGCTATTTACTCCCTAGATCTCTCGTCCAGGGCCAGGTCGTATGTTGAAAGTTTGGGGTTCCCGTCCTGCGGCCACAGGTGGATGGCCCATGTGAGTCCTTGCATCGCCAGATCCTGGTCTCACTCTGGGACCTGGCCTGGAAGATGAGCAGCCTCCACGTCACCTTCTCAGCCTCCTCCCGGGAGAGGTGGGGCTCTAGACCCAGCTGTCACACACTAAGCTGGGCTCTGGTCCCTCTGCATCCCTATACGAGTGCATTTAGTCCCCGTTACCTCGCAGGGGCCCGATTCCTAGCTGCTGTGTGTAATTCAGGTCAGAACGCAGTGACCAGTGGCTTCAGACCCTACGTCCTGTACTCTCTTGTTTCTGATGCACAGAGATATTTATTTTTGAGTGTGTTTTTCTATTCTACATGCTTGTTACAGAGCAGTGAATGAAGTAGATAAATATCTATTAGTCATTTCTTTTTAATTTAAGTATAGTTGATTTACAATGTGTTAGTTTCAGGGGTACAGCAAAGTGATTCAGTTATACGCATATATATATATATATATATATATATATATATATGTTTTTTCAGATTCTTTTCCCTTATAGTTTATTACAAACTATCGAGTATAGTTCCCTGGGCTATACAGCAGGACCTTGTTGTTTGTCTGTTTTATACATAGTTGTGTGTTTATGTTAACCCCAAACTCCTAATTTATCCCTCTTCCACTTTCCCCTTTGGTAACCATAAGTTTGTTATGTCTGTGGGTCTGTTTCTGTTTCGTATATAAGTTCATTTGAATCATGTTATTTTTTTAATGTGGAGAAAAAAGTGTAAAGCATTGTGTTCACAATTTTCACTGGAATTTTAATTGATTTTATGTTGCATTTATAGATTAATTTGAAAAGAACTGGCATGTGAATGCTGTGTCTTCTTTTCTGCAAACGTTGTATATTTTTCATTCACTGAAATAAATCTAATTCCTTTTAAAAAGGATTTTAATCCATCTAGGATACAATGCTTATCCCAATAATTCATGAAACATCTCCTTTTCCTCCTGTGGTAATGCCTCTGATTCCAGGTTCCTTTTTGCTTTCCCTAAAACCGTTGAAACAATGTTAAATAGCAGTGTATCTTATAACTCACTTATTTTTTTTCTTTTGGTTTCATTGAGATATAATTGACATAACAGTATAAATTTATAAACTATATATGTTTAAGGAGTACAGCATAATGATCTGACTTACATACATCGTGGAATGATTATCACAAGTTTAGTGAACATTCATCATTTTATTTAGGTATAAAATAAAAGAAAAAAACATATTTTCCTTGCGATGAGAACTCTTAGGATGTATTCTCTAAACAACTTTCATATGTAACACACTGCACTGTTAATTGTATTAATCATGTGGTACATTACATGCCTAGTACTTATTTATTTACCTTATAACTGGAAGTTGTACCTTTTGACGGCCTTCACCCAGTTCCCCTTCCCCCTATGCCCTCCTCTGCTAACCACAGATCTCATCTCTTTTTCTGTGAGTTTGTTTGTTTGTCTGAAGTATAATTGACCTGCAACACTGTGTTAGGTCCTGGTGCAAAATATAGTGATTTGATATTTCTATACATTACAACTGTATCACCATGATAAGTCTAGTTACCATCTGTCACCACGCAAAGTTATTACGTTATTGTTGACTATATTCTCCACACATACATTTCATCCCTGTGACATGTTTATGTCACAAATAAAAATTTCTGATTATTGATCTGTCCTTATCTTTCTGTGGTATACTTTTTTTTTTTTTTTTTTGCAGTACACGGGCCTCTCACTGTTGTGGCCTCTCCCATTGCGGAGCACAGGCTCTGGACGCACAGGCCCAGCTGCCATGGCTCACGGGCCCAGCCGCTCCGTGGCACGTGGGATCTTCCCGGACCAGGGCATGAACCCGTGTCCCCTGCATCAGCAGGCGGACTCTCAACCACTGCACCACCAAGGAAGCCCTCTGTGGTATACTTTATTTTGTCATGGATTTAAATATTTTCTTATTTGCTAAATTTTATATAGCATTTTAAACTTACGATTCATCATGAAAATTAGTTTGTTGTTGAAAAATCTCATTTTAAATCCTTACTATTAGATTACTCCTGTTTTTAATTTTTGTTGTTATTTTGACAATTTAAGTTTTCTAATAAACTTATTTACTTAATTAAAAATTTTAAACTACTTATATGGAGTTAGAACTATCATTATCTTAATAGTTATATTTTTTCTCTTCTCTGTGCCTGTATAACTTGTGATTTTTTTCCTATAAAAATGTCTTTGTACTTCCCAGACTTTGACTATTTTATTTTAAAAAGAATGAAAGATTGAATTTATTTAGCAATTCAATTTCTTTTTCAGTTTTTCAGCAATTCAGATTTTTTCAGACAAATTTATTAAATTTTGTCATTTTTATTAACCTCTCTACCATGCTTTTCTCAATCTAGTTTTGTGGTTTTATTTCTAACTTCTTGATTTGAATGATTTTTAAAATCTTTTTATCTTTAAATAAAGTATCAAATCATTGCCTATAAATATGATTCTTTGTACAGCTCTACTTTGACCCTAAACATTTAATGTGTCATTATTCTGTAAATAACATACATAATTTTGATTTTGTCTTTCCAAAATTTACATAGAAAAATATTT